GACGTGCTATACGCTGGAAGGCTACTCCATTGACGCCAAACCTCGCAGAGTATCAGCATCAGGACGAAACTGATCTAGACAGACATGGCTGGACCCCACTAGACTATTTTGAACAGTACATAGATAGAGATCTGATGACACTGATTTCAGAATGTTCTAATGTCATGTCACTGTCTAAGAGTGGGGACCCACTCAACATGTCAGTCAATGAGGTTTACCACTTTTTTGGTGCCTGTATTTTGATGTCCTGCATCCGATACCCAACCATTAGGATGTATTGGTCCAAAGCCTTGAAAATCACTGCCATCACTGACAGATTCACGCGTGACAGATTCTTCAAACTGAGGGGAACAATAAAAGTGTTAATTGATGATGATGTGCCTGAAGACCTGAGGATGTCTGACAAATTCTGGAGGGTGAGGCCTTTTCTGGATCGGATTCTGCGAGGCTGCAAGTCTCTGAATCGACCTGATTGCGCATCTATTGAGGAGCAGATGATACCTTTCACAGGAGCCTGTCCGTACAGACAATATCTGCCAATGAAGCCAAACCCAGTTGGCATAAAGAACTTTGTTTGTGCTACAGCAGATTGCATTGTGCTTGACTTTGAGCTCTATCAAGGTACAAATTCACTGATTGAGAAGGTCGAAGAACCCGAGGGCCTGGGTTTGGGAAGCTTAGTCATTGAGCGTCTGTGTCAAACTCTGCAACGTGGCACAAAAGTGTATTGTGACCGGTTCTTCACCACCATCAAAGGTGCGCAACAAATGATGGAGAAGGAGCTGAACCTAACTGGTGCAATAATGAAGAACCGACTTGCTGGAGCGAACCACAAGTTACCCAGTGACAAAGCCATGAAAAGCACAGGAAGAGGTACTTCATCAGAAGTGTCCGCTGAAGATGGAAAGTTGTGTGTAGTGAAGTGGTACGACAACAAACCAGTATTGATGATGTCTGTTGTTCATGGTACACAGCCTGAAGACACCTGCCAGCGCTGGACAAAGAAGTTGAAACAATATGTCCATGCTCTTCGCGACCAAGCATTGTCCGTGAGTACAACACCAAGATGGGTGGAGTTGACTTGATGATAGAATGATCAGTGACTATCGCATGAGCACCCGTACTAAGAAGTGGACAATGCGTATGGTAATGCACTTCACGGATCTGGCTTTAAGCAACAGCTGGCTACTCTACCGCAAAGACCATGCAATATGTGCTGGAGCCAAAAGACAAGACCCATCCAGTTCCTCTCAGTTTCCGTATGGAAGTGGCAAAGATCCTCTGGCCCAGCATCACGGTGCAGATGCTGACCCTATCGGAACAATCAGAGGAAGAAGATTCAAATCAAGGGGAAAACGTCATGTGACAGAGTTGCCCATGTTCTCGGTCCGCAGGAGGGCTAATGCCCACCTCCCGAGATATTGGGCCTGAGAATGCGATGCGGCACGACAACCAGGCTGCACCGGAAGAACCCGAGTAGCTTGTGTGACCTGCCAAAGTGTTCTTGTGCTTGCAAACCGAACACAACTGTTTACTCAGCCTTTCACACTAGGTGATGGCAGTGATTTTCAAGTGTGTACATGTTCCTACAGTGTACATGTACTCTTTGTGACATTAGGTGTGTGGTGGGTGTGAGTGTGTGTGTGTGTGTGTGTGTGTGTGTGTGTGTGGTGTGTGTGTGTGTTGTGTTGGGTGGGTGTGAATGTGAGCGTGTGCGATTAGTCACATTCCTCCTCTAACTCCTCTCTTCTCAGATTCTGTGAAGGTCACCAGGTGACCCCTGGGCCTCCGTAAGCAGGGGTCCTTCTGTCCTCAATGATTGCACCCTTTACATATCCTTTGTTTTTACATTACAAATACAAAATTTCACATGAGCCATACGTGTAACTGTGACTGTCAAAAAGGGGCAACATCTTTGTTTTTTTTTTCACCTATGATGTTTTTTGCATATTTTTTTCACTATGACGTTCAAACACATTAGTAGCCTGATGCAACTGTGACAATTTAAACACTGATTTTGAATGTTTTATTTTTGTTACAGGTATACAATGTCATCCTGCAATTACTGTTTGCAGCTTTTCAAATGATCCATGCAGTAGTTTAAACTGTCCAAAAGGGCTAACAAATGCCATTTTCTTATCTAATTAGGGTCCAATAAGCCCAAATAGCAAAGAAAAATAAAAAATGCATGTAAAAAAACAGCCTGGGCCTTAGGAGGTTAATGTGCATATCCTTGGTGCAGGGAGCATAAAACCGTCTGTGTTCTGATGAGTCTTTGAGCCTTTGAGCCACTTTCTAATACAAGAAATGTCCATTAAATAATTTATTGTACCTTATTTTGTTTCTGTGTTTATTATCTAGCAACCCAACGTCCCGCTTGAATAACTTGAAAACAACACATTTAATAACATAAAATGACCATTGAGTTGCTCAGCTTTTTCTCACATTCTCTGCAGTGCACTGACACCACACACTCACACACTGTGCAGTGTCACATCAGCCATGTTGTGATTCCAACACTCTTGCCTCACGTCAGCTGTGTATGACGGCTACTTCACTGAACTGCTGCAAAAAGTGTGTCCACGCAATCGCGTATCCTATCTTTCTACACTGGCTGATCAAAATCAGATATCTAACATTGACTCATGCTGAAAAACTGTCTTTTTCCCATCATCAGCCGATCGATCAGTGCTTCTCTAGATAAAACTCTGTCTTAAGAAGTGATTTGAACAAAGTCAGTGATTCTATTGATCTGATTTTCTAAAGCAGCTCATTCCAGAGTTTCAGGGCTGATGCTCTTTCACTTCTGGTTTTTAGCTTTGCCTGTGGAATTAAAACATCTCAGGCTACGAACTGGTTCATATCCAACTAAGAGATCAAATATTAAACATTAGGCAAGGCCATTAAGAGCTTTAAAGTGAACAGTAAGATTTTAAAATCAAGAAAGAGGTGAAAACTGGTGTGAGGAGGTCAACTTCTCTTGGACCTTGTTAAAAGTCTGGCATCTGAGATTTTTGGTTGAGATAGGTGAGTTGCAATAATGGAGTCATGAGGACATGAAAGCATGTAAACTGGTCTTTGGGTCTCTGAATGATAAACATATAAAACCAAAACTATCTGCATGGGGATATATCACAAGAGGGAAGTGAGTATATCTGCTTTTTGTTGTTACTTAAGGGAAGTGACCCTTTAAATACACAATTAAATTAGAGAGCATTATTACATGCAGTTTTTGTACATGTAAGACAACAATTAAATTCATCATTAAAGTCTGTTTACAGCTGTGGGCGTTCAAAGGTGACGGCTCATCTGAGCCTGCAAATCCATCAAGTGTGTGTAGGGAGTATCTAACTGCACGCTGGCACTGCACCAGCAGGTCAGACGAGGAGTCAGAGGCAGGTTGAAGTACCATGATAATGGCAGAGCTCACTGTCCCTCAGAGGAAAGAATGGACATTTACCTAGTGAATAGGAGTACTGGAGGCTGATTTCTATGTAGTTTTAAAGGTTTATTCCATGGATTTACTACTTTCTGTCTTGTGGTTGCTCAGAGTTGCACGTTGGACGGTTTCTATAATGAGTATAATTAGGTAATTATCAGAGAAAATAAAGATGGAATCATGTGCTATGGCCTTTGCAATCACTAGATCTCAACCAGATATTTGAAAGGTTGGAGAGAGGGAAGACACAAGGAGGGCTCTGGACACATTCAAGATTATATACTGTATATACTGTATATATATCTTTTTATACAATAATAAACAATAACAATAACAAGGAAAGTTAAAGATCCTGCAAGTGTGTGCAACACCGACACGTGGAGGACACATGAAAGAACCTCAATGACTCCTGAGAGAGAGAGGGACAGAGAGAAAGAGAGAACAGAAATAACATGTTATAATACTAATTTAACACAAATTCCAAAAAAGGCTGCACATTCAGGACCACGGCTGTATTATTAATAATAATATATAATTTTATTATTATACATATGGTAGATATGGCTAAAAATAATAAAGTAATTAGTTTGCAACTCTTAATATATTTATAAGAGCTGTCATACTCACGACTGATTGTCGTCCATCTTCTTAGTGAAATGTGGCCCTGGTGTTAAATTCCTTAGGTGGCAGCATCACGAAAAACTAGAGTCCTGTAAATGTGGTCCTGAAACTGCAGCCTCCGGTTCTGCAGGAACACTCTACTTGCTAAATGAGCATTTGTAAATGTAAAATGTAAATCTATAAAAGTTCAAACATAGCTAGTTATTTTTATATATTTTTTTATCTATTTAAAATAGGCTAGTTTTAGCTATTAGCTGTATTGAATTAAGTGACAATTTTCCATGTGTCTTATATTACAGATGGCAGCAGCAGGAACCAAAGTGCACACAGTGTCAAATTTTCTTTCGTTGTTGGGGGCTGATAATGGCTAATTAATTAACTATTGTGAAATCCAGTGACCTCAGTCGACCTCTTGTCTCCAGGTGTGATTGAAGAGCTGATTATTTTTCATTTTTAACACTGACGTGCAATTACACCTGTATCTTTGTTTACTGTGGTTTGATATTAATGTGAGATGGAAAACTGACGTTAGAACTATGTACAAGGAGCTTTCACCAAGGTTGGTGTCTGTAGTGAGACCCACTGAACATAAAGGCAGGCATGATGGATGACAAAGAGAATTATCCCTTTAATAATGCAGCAGATAAACGCTCACACTGACACCGTCTCTCCCTCTCGCTGTCTTTTTCCTACGCTCTGCAATTTTTAAGTGTGTTTCCCTCTCCTCTGTTTTTATCAAGCCCACCATTCCCTTCTCTGCGTACTCCTCTGCAGAGCGTGGAGAGCTGTCTGTTGACGCACCGACACCGGCCAATCACACGCCGTATCTCCAAGGTGCAGGACGACACTGGCCAATGAGAGGGAAGCAAGGGGGCGGGACGTATCCAGTCCACTCACACCTCCACACAGAAAATCAGTGGTGTTGGAGAGCGACAGGGACCGATGGTGCAGTAGTGAGACAGGAGACAGGAGCAGATAAACAGCGAGACACAGACAGAGACGCGGAGCTGCTTATAACGAGGACACATTGCGACTCAGCTGCTGACATGGACGCGTCAGTCTGACCTGGTCCACACACGGTCCCCGCTCTCCAACAGGTCCACCGAGCATGTCGACGGTAGAAGGAGCCGGCCAGCGTGAGGAAGGGGAGTACGGAAGGGCGGCAAAGCGGCTGAAAACAGAGGAGAGGGAGGAGGGGGAAGAGGAGCTGGAGGAGGGGGAGGATTCGGACTCCGGCTCCCTGCCCGGTAACGGAGAGTCAGCGGCGGACAACCGGGCCCGGTGGAGCTCCGGCCAGTACGGAGCAGGACGGAGGGTAAGGAGAGAAAAAATATTATCTAACAACACCCTGCAGCACAGCATCGTGTGTGCGTGTGCGTGTGCGCGCGCGCGCGCGTGTGTGTGTGTGTCAGTCAGTCAGTGAGTGAGCTACCTCCTACCTGTCACACACACACACACACACACACACGCACACACTGTAAAATCCTGACTACATTTCCGTTAACGCATTAAAGCTTTTATCTTATATGAAAAATATTATACAATGACAAATACACAACATTGTCCTATGTGTTAGCTATGAAAATGTATTTTTTAATTGTCAATGGCACATCTGTTTACTCTTTAGTTTGGGTTCAGTTATTTGGTCTTAAAGTAAGACTCCTTGATTTTGATTGGCTGCAGTTACTAGTTACCAGTTGGAGGAACTGTGACCTAGTGGCTTGTCAGTGAAAGTGAGGATGAGCTGATTCCAGTCTCAGTTGCCAGCGTCACATTTCAAAAAATCATTGTTGCTTGAAAGTTGCAAAATGAGCGAAGGAGTTGCTGATGTGTTGAAACAGGCCTGTGGTCGATTTGGCTACAGCTGTGGCTACTGGTGGTAACAGCAAATCTGTTTTAATTATGGATGCCAAGCTGTGGATGATGAACCTGAGACAACACTGGTGTTACTGAGTAACACTGGACATTTTTACAAGAAAAGAGGTGTCAACTCGATATCTATAGCAGGGTTTTTCCTGCACAGAGAATTGTAAGGCGTGCTGCCTCCGCCTCCCGACAAAATTCTAGTACCTGTTTTGTCGGTACTCTGTGGATTTGACGTTTGTAACTGCAGTTGTGGCTGTATGCCACTACGGCAATGTATGGGCTCTGTATCGATATCAATATCGATATGCAAACGTGCTGGATTTTCTGCTTGCGGAAGGAGGCGGCGACCTGATTTCACGGCTCTTCAAACAGGTGACTATCCTGTATAATATGGGATTGTCCCATATTTGAAAATAAAATGATTCTAGTACTTGTTTTCTCGGTACTCGGTGGATTTGAATCAATACGGGACGCAATTTGTCCCATTTCTTTGTTCATGTTATGTCCTCAAAGTTCTGTGAATAATGTAATGTCAAGTAAAACCAAACCAGTTGCCACCTTCTTTCACATAAAAGGTGGCAACCCAACAGATGAATATTATCTAATTTACATCCCCATACATTTTTTTTTTTGCAGAAATGACTGACAAGATACAGTTAATTTGTCAGGACTGAAAGTAGGCCTAGTTCTCAGGCCTAGTAGGCCTAGCTCCCCCCTTAACTCTGCTCTGCTGCTGCACAGAGAAGACACTCTCAGATTATAATTGTAGCTCCCACTAAGTATTGATAACTAGTATTTTACAAATTAGAATTTTTTATTTGATGAACATGGGCACTACCACTGATTTGTGAAAATGAACTAGAGATGAAACAGTATACAAATTTGATGTCATGATTATAGTGACCAAAGTTATCAGTATTATCGTGGTATTGTTAAAATGTGCTGAAAATGTTCAAGAAGTTAAATCCTTTCACCAAGTTTTATTCTGGAAACCACAAATAACCCTGCAGCCCAGAAATAAGTTTCAAAGACACTCAATAACAGATCGAAGAGTCTCACACAGAGGCTCAGACTCCGGGCACCAACCTGGCTATGAGACACCATGGATCTGTTTTATCAGTTTGCATGGCGGCCAGCAGCTTACTGTTTCTCTGTGTGTGTGTGTGTGTGTGTGTGTGTGTGTGTGTGTGTGTGTGTGTGTGTGTGTGTGTGTGTGTGTGTGTGTGTGTGTGCGTGCTCTGAACAAAAAGGTTAAATGGAGTTAATGGCCTTTTTTAGCAGGTTTACCTGGGAGTAGCTCAACATTGTGTGAGATGAGAGTGAGATGGGGAGATGGAGTTAGGAAGCAGCTGGAAACAGCTGGCAGGGAGAAATCATTTGGCAAACAACAGCTGGGAACAGCAACATGAAGTCCATTTACAAAATCTTTGTACTGTTCCTTTGATACTGATTGCTTCCCAATGCCAAATTTGATCTGATATGTCTCTTTAATTATATGTTTATTTGTAGATTTATTTGTAGCTGTAGAGAGGACAGAGGCTGTTATCAGCAGCAGTATTTTAGAGACGTGGTGCACCTTCAAAATGCACAACAACTGTTTTTTTAAAAAGTGACTGTGCTTTTGTTGCTTGCAGTTACTTGCTGACATATCGGTACTTGAAACTGCTGGCTGCTCTTCTTCTATTCTGTGCTAATGTGCACTCACTCAAAAACACTGCGCATTAGGAGCCAGTTCCAGTATGGTACATGGTACAACAGGTGTTTAAGATAGTTATTTACTGTTTTCCAAGCTAAGGTTATAAAATGGTAAAACATGCCATTACCCTGTATACTGCATATGGTTCAGTGAGCACCAGGCTGAACACAGTACTCTAACACCATCAAAGGCGCATCAGACTGCAGTTGCTGATTTTATTGCTATTATCACAGATTTAAACTTAAGATTGAAATGAAGAGCAAAAATAGTAAATCTGAGATCTGTGCTGCTCTCATACTGGAGGCAGAAAGACAGTCTTATGAATAATGTCTATTTACTTTGTTTATTTTATCATGAACACTTCTCCCAGGTATTTTTCCTGTGTGCTCCTTCCACACTATTGGTGCCACATACCCATTTGATACATGAACATCTCTGGCTCATTGAGGAGATCTGTTACATGTATATATGTATGTATGTTGGAGCATGTGTCAGAATGACACACACACACACACACACAGCTCTATCTGCTATTCATGCTACTGCTGTTATGACTGCTAGCCCCAAGAGTACTACTGCTGTTACTACTGCTAACACATAAAACATAATAGTAGGTACAAATATTGAAGTGTGCACATACAGTTTTGCTGACTGAAGCTGAATGAAGAACACAGACAAAGTCACAGTCACTATTGGTTGCTGTCTCAGGCTGTAGTTATAACTTAACTAAAGTTTGTGACAAATGAAGCTACACAGTTTTCCTTTTTGCTTGTTCACCATTAGCTTAACGTTTGCACGCTACACCACACATGTTCATATCGCGATGACTAATTAATTGGTCAGCACTACCATACAGCATGTAAATTAAACATCACTGTGTGACGTATGAGTGACATTCAACTAATATGTTATTGTGTACCCTACTAACTCCCTAGCAACACTACCAATGATACTGTCGTTTTTGGCTGAGCCGCTACAGCGGGGCCAGCCCTATAAGAGAAAATGTCGCTGTCTGACTGACTGACTGACTGACTGACTGACTAATTGACTGACTGACTGACAGATGATATTTCCACTCCACATTCAGCCGAGTGCCAAGCCGCAGTCTACCGAGCCACTCTGGTTTCCAAGCTGTTCGGGAACTGCAGGGAAGAGGAGGAGCACTTCCAATACACTGAGCTTCGCATCCATTACAGCAAATAAACTACTTTGATTCCTTGTATCATTATTTCTAAAGGAGGCAGAGGAATAACTAAAAATAAGAAACAACAAAAATAAGGGCTGGGCAATATGGCCACAACTGCTCCCATATTAGTTGATATCGATATTTATCACGATAAATGCCACATCGTTATTTCTTTCAGGTTTAAAGGCTGATTTTTGCTCCTAAGTGAAAGTTGAAGAAACCAGATAGTCAAATGTGGTTTCAAACTGTTCTGTTTAGTCAGAACATGACAAACAACAAAAGACTTTCAAGATATAAACATTCAAAATATGATAAGATATGTATTGTTAAAATCAAAATCCTTTTCAGTCCTTTTTACTCAACAAAGTGAATAGAAAATGAAGTTCTGCAGTGTGATACAGCACACATGTAACATGATCAGACTGCAAAATAAAAAAAATAGACAAAGAAGATCTGCACTGGGTACTGGCCTGGTGCTCGTTGAGGGTCCACTAACACTCGTTTGGGCCTGTAATTTCTTATTTTCTGTGTGTTCTAATGAGTGATATTGTTTCAAATGATGAAACAGGTTTGTGGTGTTGCCTGTCTTTGATGGAACGTGTCTCCAGCACAGTGTGCAGTGTTTTTTGTCGGACTGTAAATAGCCAAAATATTTCCAAACTACTACTATTTTTCATGTCCCTATCGAGGAAAATAATTTTGCAATAATTAATGCTATAGTTTTATCACCCAGCCCTATAGGGAGAGAGAGAAATCATCAATAACGAGGCTTCATACTAACCGCTATGACCTACTCTACATATCAAACAGAGGGAAGTCAACATGAAGACCTGCTGCTAATAAAAGTCTGTTACATTCTGGAGTTGAAGTAAATAAAGACTAAACTACAGGGCTGCCACTAACAACTATTTTTCTAACCATTAATCTATCAACTATTTTATCAATTAGTTGGTTAACCCAAACGATCAATTTTCCTCCAGAAAATCTAAATGACACTGGCATGATCAATAAACCCAGATTCTGGGTTAGACATTTTCTCAAACACTTATTCAGTGTAAATTCTCGGGCAGTAGCAATGACTTTATGACTTTAGTATTTATCAGCTACAAGGACAAAAGATATTAAAAAGCTCTGTCTACTAATGAACAGACAACACCTACATGAAGTAATCTTTCACATTTGTGACTGATCTCACTGTGCGCCATGAAAAATAATAATCACAAAATAACACTGGTTAAACGAGACTTAGAGTGAAGGGATTTGAACTGTGATGTTCTCATCCTCCCAAAATCCGACATTAACCAGCTGATCTTATCTGTATCTTATCCATACACTTATTGATCCAGCTCAGACTGTTACTGGTTCTTTTTTAAAAAGAATAAATTCAGAACAGGATGTGAATTGATTGTTCTGGTTTGTTTCAGACAGTCGTTCAGTTTGCAACAATCTGCCACATTTTAAGATTCATGGTGAAGACAATCAGTTACAGACAGCTTTCATTTAGCCTTTCCTAACAGTCCATCATTAGCTTAACCAGCGCCATGTTGTTGTGTAAAAGACACTGGGA